TTGTTTTTCCTAGTTTCTGGTTTCAGTCGCGGAAGAGAGGAGAGGAGAACTCGAAGGATTTGGGCATGGAAACCGAAGGAGCTCGACTGCAGATGAAGACGACTGGAGTCGGTAAACAAGGGATTGAAGGACAATTTCACGCAGATAAGGAGAGCCGAGCAGCGCCAGATACGGACAAATTGGTAATTGTTGATGCTGACGATGAGGCGGTCGAGTTGGAGGTAAACCACTTTGATGCAATAACAATCGTCGCAGGAGTCCGACCTTCTCCAGAACCACCGCCAAGGGTTGATCGACACGGTTTGGAGTTTGATTATTTATTTTTTCTGCGTTTTAATTTCCAGGTTAAGTCATTTGTGTGTTGTTTTATTTTTTTGCTGTAAAACTCTTGCATTAGGTTTGGGGGATGGAAAGTCTGCGGTAACCGTCATTGGCATTAAGTTGCCCAATTTTGGTCTAGCGAGTTATACTGCTTTTTTACAGGTGGTTAACTCTCAGTCTCGGCCACGGGCGGATGGTTATTTGTGTTTCTTTTCTAGTTTTACCCCTTGCTGAATGCTATTTTTATGAAGTAAGCCGCCTTCGATAAAAAAAAATTAATTTATAATACATTAATTGATAAAGTATAGTCAAAGTAGAATATTTGAATAGTGCAAAAAGTCCAATGTTGCAATTAAAAGAGAACGGAGGTAGTACCTACTAAGCATTTTGAATAATAGATTAGGGGTATGTTTGGCACGACTAGCTGAAAAGATACTTTTGTGAGCTTTTTAGTAACTGTTAGCTTTTAATGACTGAAAATATCTTAAAAAGAAAAGGTGGTAGCTGTTTGGTAAAAAGCCCACTGTTTGATATAATTCTGTTTAGTATACAAGCTGTTAGGACAAATTAATACTAAAAGTCACAGACTTTTCTCAGATGCTACTCCCCGTAGCATCTCAAAAAAGATCTTTTATTTTTTTAAAAGCTCTTAAAATTTTTCATGTCAAACATACAACTGAAAGTTTTTAGAAACTTTTTAAACAGTACGAAAGCTAGAAGGTAGAGACTTATGTCTGCCAAACATGCGCTAGACGCAAGATTGCGAACTCAAAACATGGGTTAGTTTTGCAATTTGAGGTTAGAACTTAGAAATTAGAAATGAACTTAATCAAGTACGATCACTAGGCTTACAATTATCTTGTTAGTGCTAAGCGGATTATGTTGCTTTTATAGGGGTGATTAACTATATATGTGATTCTAAGATTAGTGATCGTGTTAGGGATTGTTTGGTTCAAAACGGTTGAAGATATGCCTTTTACTATTAAAAAAATGTCTAACACAATCTAATTAATTACTGAGATAAAAAAATACAAGTGGATGCTAACCTTTTACCAAAAGAACATCAAAATTGTTGAATCAACCATGTTTGTGTTACACCATACTACTTATTTATCCTTCACATTCACAAAAAAAGTACAAATACAAACATTCATGAATAATATTTGTCTGTGTTAACAAAATTTGTCTGTGCGTGTAAATCATGACGTATCTTTTTTGCATCTTTGTTCAGGTGATTGCACGAAAATCAATGTCAGTGTACACCGAAAAAGAATGTGTGGGTACAGACACTTTTTCTCTGTACAAACAACTAATATTTGGGTTACGTTTTCTGCGTACTCAAACAAAAATATTACTCCATACACTTTTGTAACATTATTGTTTGTGTACACAAATAACTTAACTATGATATTAGTTGTCTGTACAGACAAAAAGTGTTTGTACTCATACATTTTCTTGTCTATGTATATCGACATTGGTTTTCGTGCAACCACTTTGACAAATCTGCAAAAAAAAAGTATGTAATGATTTACATATACTTTTTTATATGTGTGACGAGTAAATAAATATGGTGTAACCCATGATGCACAACAAGCATTATAGTTGTTGAATACTACCTCCATCCCGTTGAAAAGTTTCATGGCAAAACGACACGGTTATTTAGATAATAATTAAATACGATGATTCAAATATATTTTGAGAAATAGTTTTAATAGGTCATAGTAGTAACAAATTGAAGTTTGTGTTGATAGTGGTGATGTTATAAAAATATTATTTTTAATATTTAATAATTAAATTTTCATTTCAATCTTTCAGATTACTACCTCCGTCCCTTAAAACTTTGTCAAAGTTGACCGGAACGGAGAATAATAAAGTAAAAACTGTGTGGTTGAGGTTTGTGCAGAGGAGAGAAAAATAACAGAAACCACAAAATAATTGATTAAAAGGGAAAATGGCAAAGTTTTTTGGGACGTCCCAAAAAGGAAAGATGACAAAGTTTTAAGGGACGGAGGGAGTATTATTATTTTTCTAAAATACTCCCTCCGTCCCGCAAATAAGTTACCACTTTCCTTTTTGTGCAGTCCCTAAATTAAGTTCACACTTCCTTACTTTCCTTATTTACTAATTATCTACATCAAAACAGTGTCAAACAGTGTTTGAACAGTGCAAAACAGTGCACTCCACAGTAAAGTCATATTTATTTTCTTAATCTGTGTGAAGTCAAACAGGTAACTTGTTTCGGGGATGGAGGGAGTAGAAATTATAACTTTTATATGAGACAGTCAAAAAAATGAAAATTAGAATATTTTCATATGAGACACAATAGTGGGGAGTATCATTTTCTTTACATTATTGAATTATACTCCCTCCGATCCTTATTAAACTTTACACTTTGACTTCACACATATTAAGGAAATAAATTTGACTTTACTGTAAAGTACACTGTTTGGCACTATTTGACACTGTTTGGCACTGTTTGGCACTGTTTGGTGTAGAATTGTTTGCCAAATAAAGAAGTGTAAAGTTTAATATGGAACGACCAAAAAAGAAAGTGTAAAGTTAAGTAAGGACCGGAGGGAGCAATTACGTGTCTCACCCCCAAAAATATCTAGAAACAAGCTACTCCGTATAATGGTAATGCCAACCAATCAAAACGTCAGCCACTCGATTATTACACGGAAATAAAATCCGGATTGAGGCTGCCATCTCTTTCCCTCTGCGTCATTAGCTTACAAGCCACCCACCCATTTCCCCTCCTATATAACCTTCCCAGCATCAATCTGCCATTTCCGTGAACTGGAATTCCCAGCTTAATCCCCCTAAAGGAATCAAATCGCAACAGAGCGGAAAGGGAAAGCAATTTTCAGCGACCCATTTCCTCATTCGCTCTGTCAACGAATTCTGTTTTTCCCCTCCCCCCTGCTTCTTTTCTAGATCCTCAGCTATTGATTCTATAGGATTTTTTGAGTTGTTTTTTCTTTGATTTTCGGAAGGGAAAAAATGGGCACGGAGGTTATGAGACCGCATGATTGTTTGATCCAGAGATTGGCCCCGTTTCATCGCCGGAAAATCGGGTGCTCCGCCGGAAATGGGAACGCTGCCTTCTTCCCTCGTTACCGGAAACCGGCGGGTCGGGCCGAGAAGAAGAGACACAACGCGGGTACGAAGCGGTCGCCCAGCGTCGAGAATTTGGAGACCGGTGAACTCGTCATGGGTCGGGTGACGATTCTGTGGCGAGGGGAGTCGCTGGACTCGTTGAACGCGAAGATCCACAAACCCGTCCCGGCGCCGGTTAAGAGTACCGACGGCGAAGATTTGGGGCGGATCCGAGTCAGCCACCTGTTCGGAGACGTCTACGCCGGCTCGGCTTTCTCGAACTCGCCGTCGCCGAGAGCCGTACCGTTGCCTTCCTTCTTCTCCAACATCCCGAACCCGAAGCAAGACGGATTTGACGATTCGGCTACCCGACAGCTAAGACGGATGCTCCGACTCGAATAGCGAAATCGGATCCGGTTCATGTCTTAGCAATTAACGGCGGCGAAATCTCTCTAATATAGCTTATTTTTTGCACAAATGGAGGGATTCAAAATGATGTCAAAATTAATTAAGGAACCAAAGTTAATGAAAGAGGGAAATTAAGAAGGATGTAATTAAGGGTTGCCTGTTTTTCTACTAATTGTTCAGTAATTTCATGTGCAAGAATGAGGAGCAAGAATGAGGAGGTGAAATGGTGTTTGCGTATAATTGTTTCTTCCATACACTTCATCCATTACTTTTACTTAAAGTCTTAAATATATACACCATATTTGACATTATTATATCAATCATTTTAAGTTTGTTGAATTTGCTTAATAGATTGAAATTAGTTAAATCTTGAATGAATTGGCGGAATATGATAAATTATAGGAAAATTACACCTAAATATATTTTATTAAAAAATAGAGAAAAATATACTATCATGTGAAAAGTAACTATAATCTTATTTATTTTTTGAGTATTATACTACCTTCTTCCCTTAAAACATTGCCAAAATTGACCGGCACGAAGAATAATAAAGTAAAAACTGTGTGGTTGAGATTTGTGCAGAGGAGAGAGAAATAACAGAAACCACAAAATAATTAATTAAAAAGGAAAGTGAAAAAGTTTTTTAGAACGTCCCAAAAAGTTTTAAGGGACGGGGTAGTACAATTTAACGCGTGAAATGAGATGTTATGTGTTTTGTAAGAATGTTGAGTGATAAGATTGATAAATATTTGATAGGGATTATCTAACCCACATTATATTTTATTACTTAGTAAAAATTAAACTCCTTCCGTCCCAAAATGATAGTCCTGTATTTCCTTTTTGGGATGTCCCAAAATGATGGTCCCGTTTCCCTTTTTAGAAAGAAAGATGTGGTTCATATCATTTCATTTTATTATACTCAAATCTCAACCACAACTTTTACCTTTTTAACCACTATATTAAAACTTGTGCCTAAAATAAATGAGACTATCACATTGGTACGTTTTAATGTTTATCATCAAACAAAAAAATGAAATATTGAAATCTAAACAGTCACATCCTTGTTACGTTTTAATAGTCACATCCTTGTTACGTTTTAATGTTTATCATCATATGGTGATATGGAAATATCATAGAATGTCTTATAATTTAACAAAATCATGATTAAACCATCAAACGAGAAATGCAAGGCCTTTTTATTTGAATATTACTAAAATGAAGAAAAAAGACAAAAATGTAATCTCTTTTGAATTTTTCCAAAAAAAATGACTAAAAATCATTTATTCTATTTTATCATGCATTTATTAGTTTATTGTTTTAATATTCCTTTGGCAGCCATAACACCTCTATGGCCGACGCCGCCACCGGCGCCGCCGCATTCACCGGAACCGCCGTCGCCGTCACCGGAACATCGCCGCCGTCATCGGTACCGCCGCCGCCAGTCAAAGTGACTCCGACCGTCACAGTGACTCCGACGTACAGTGACTCCACCATCACAGTGACCGGTCATAGTGACTGCCGCCCACCTCCCACCATGACTGCCAGCCGCAGTGACTGCCTGCCCGAGTCCATCACCGCCATCCACGCCAAAAACCACCACCTCCACTGCTGCAAGCCACCACGACGGTTTCCGCCGCCCGCTACCGACGCTGGTCAGCAGTGCCACCCCCTGCCTAATCATCATCCCATAATCCGGCAACTCAACCACTCCTTCAACCCTATCCCTAAGCACCACCTCCCCAACCCACCTGTTTGCCCCCAGCCCCCTCTCCGGCTAGTCTGCCGCCACCGGCGAACCACCTCCGACCACCAAACCCCAGGCCCCACCCCTTTGTCACCCCAGCCCCCCAGTAGCCCCCAACCCTCACAGCTGCCCCCAACCCCCCGACCAACCCTCGCACAATCGGACCTCCTCCAACTCCATCAGGCGACGTCAGATCTGCGGATTTTGGACAAAACAAAGTCGGATATGCACATTCAAAGCCACAGATCTACGGATTCCGGGCAGAAGAAAGGAGAAGAAGATGAAATCGGAGGGGCGCGATGGACGTCCACGGTTCTCAGAGCTTCTCTCTGCTGGTCGGAGCTCCAATTGATTAGGCCGTCCACCGGCAAAATCAGATCCTCCAGCGATGGCGACGCTCCACCGCAGATGGATCGGCCACTCTGAATGCTCCACCGCAGATGGAAAGACGAAGGGGACTGAGCAGATTGAAGGAGAAAAAAAAGAGAGGCGGCAATTGTGTCTTGTTTCATAACCCAACAATATTATAATTGCTTGGATTATTTCTTCTATTTTATACCTTAGTGAAATGTTTGTAACAATAAGATTCGTCACAATGCTTAAAGAAAAAGTATGTAAGGTGATAGAAAAGTATGATAATAAGATGAAGAGAAATTTTACAAAATAGGACTATTACTTATCAAAATTTCAAAAATAGGACATCCACTTTTCCCCCGATTCGCATAGGACCAAATATGCGCTGAATTGCCAAAAATGACCTCATTAAACGATACACACGTACTCTTCCCTTATTTCACGGTTACTTCTTTCCCCCGGCTATTCCCGGTTTCCAAGCATGATCATGGCCGCCGAAAAAGAGATTCAAAATTAAATGAACATGTATTGGAACGGTTGAGAGCTGCGATTGAAGAGACCAGTCATTCTACGAGTATCAAACGTGCACTTCGATTCAAAACTTCAAAGCACAGAGGTAGTAAACTTTCGTCTTAGACAACCCTCAAATTTGAGGAGAGTAGAATCGTTGAGCAGAGTTGATGGACAGAGCTATGGATTTGTCAAACAAAGTTTCCGTCAGAATCAATTCCGAAATAGTAAGTACTAATTTCGTTGAGTAGAGGAATGTCTGAAATTGACAAAAGTTTGACAGTTAAAGGAGTTTAGAAAGTTTAAATCGTTTGAATGTAAAAACATTTCATTGCATCATGTTCTTATATGGTGGCATTTTAAGTGTGTATGAAGACTATGGTTACATTTTGTATGAAAAGTGACATTCCAATAATATGTGGTTATGTAGTGGTGTTGTAAGTTTGTATCATTACTGTGATGACAGTTTGCTTGAAATAGTGACATTTTATGAATATGTCTTAGATTGAATCGAAATTAACACAACATTGAATTGGCAATTGAAAGTCTGACACATAAATGACATTTTAGTCTGAATTTAGCAGATCATTTTTAGTTTGTGATGTTGTTATACAACAAAATAGTGCAAAATAAAGAAGTATATGGTGGCATTTTGTATGAAAAGTGACATTCCACTAATATGTGGTTATCTAGTGGGGTTGTAAGTTTGTATCATTACTGTGATGACAGTTTTCTTGAAATAGTGACATTTTATGAATATGTCTTAGATTGAACAGAAATTAACACAACATTGAATTGGCAATTGAAAGTCTGACACATAAATGACATTTTAGTCTGAATTTAGCAGATCATTTTTAGTTTGTGATATTGTTATACAACAAAATAGTGCAAAATAAAGAAGTATATGGTGCATTTTGTATGAAAAGTGACATTCCACTAATATGTGGTTATGTAGTGGGGTTGTAAGTATGTATCATTACTGTGATGACAGTTTTCTTGAAATAGTGACATTTTATGAATATGTCTTAGATTGAACAGAAATTAACACAACATTGAATTGGCAATTGAAAGTCTGACACATAAATGACATTTTAGTGAGAATTTAGCAGATCATTTTTAGTTTGTGATGTTGTTATACAACAAAATAGTGCAAAATAAAGAAGTATATGGTGGCATTTTGTATGAAAAGTGACATTCCACTAATATGTGATTATGTAGTGGGGTTGTAAGTATGTATCATTACTGTGATGACAGTTTTCTTGAAATAGTGACATTTTATGAATATGTCTTAGATTGAACAGAAATTAACACAACATTGAATTGGCAATTGAAAGTCTGACACATAAATGACATTTTAGTGAGAATTTAGCAGATCATTTTTAGTTTGTGATGTTGTTATACAACAAAATAGTGCAAAATAAAGAAGTATATGGTGGCATTTTGTATGAAAAGTGACATTCCACTAATATGTGGTTATGTAGTGGGGTTGTAAGTATGTATCATTACTGTGATGACAGTTTTCTTGAAATAGTGACATTTTATGAATATGTCTTAGATTGAACAGAAATTAACACAACATTGAAATGGCAATTGAAAGTCTGACACATAAATGACATTTTAGTGAGAATTTAGCAGATCATTTGTAGTTTGTGATGTTGTTATACAACAAAATAGTGCAAAATAAAGAAGTATATGGTGGCATTTTGTATGAAAAGTGACATTCCACTGATATGTGGTTATGTAGTGGGGTTGTAAGTATGTATCATTACTGTGATGACAGTTTGCTTGAAATAGTGACATTTTAGTGAGAATTTAGCAGATCATTGGTAGTTTGTGATGTTGTTATAAAACAACATAATGCAAAATAGAGAAGAATATGGTGGCATTCTGAATGAAAAGTGAAATTGCAAGAATTATCACAATTTATGGGAAAGTATGAAACTGGCAAACTAATGACTTAAGTAGTTAATATTACCATGTTATTTATGAATATCTTGACTTGAATGACAAAATATTTTACAAATTGATTATAATGCCTATATTTGTGTGAACTTGACAGACAATAACAAGAGCTTTCAAGAAGTCAGTGTTAGTGGACTTGGAAAACTTGCGTGTCAATTCTTACTGCAATGTTGCTGAAGTTCTTAAAAGAATAAGGACATGTCTTAGCACTGAGGAACTGACTGATTTCAGTAACACCATATCTGGTTGGATGTTAAAAATTGAAGATATGTCTTGGAATAGTGGACAACTACTGTTAGGATTTGTTGGAAACTATGTCACTGAAGTTAATGGAAATGCAGATGACAGTGTCATCAGATTTCATATTCAAAACAGTGTAATCAGTTTTCAAAAGGCTGATATGGCAACAATGTGTGGTTTAAAATTTGGGAGTCTGAAGCCAAATATTTCAGAGGAGCCTGAGGGAGATATATGGAGAAGATATTTTGGGAACAAGGCTACATTGTCCCGTGCAGATATCCAAAATGCATTGAAGAGTTATGAGAGCACTGATGAAGGAAGAATGACAAAGGATGGAGTGAAGCTGGCTCTACTACACATATTGTCCCATTGTTTGTTTGGGAATCAAACTGCCAGGCCTATGAAAGCATACTACATAAACCTGGTAAACGATTTGGATGCATTCAATGCTTACCCATGGGGTGATGATGTTTGGAACGAGTTGGTTGACAAAATAAAACAAAGTTGTGAGGCATTAGATAAAGGCAAAGGGGACAGAGTTACATTCCCTGGGTACATGGTGGCTTTACAATGGTGGGCATTTGAGACATTCCAAGGACTTGTAAAAGGTGGTTTGTGCAAGCTAATAAAGGGCAGAGAAAACATCTTACCAAGGACACTGAAGTGGGAATTCAAGAAAAAACCTACACTGGAGGTGCTTTCCCAAATAATATTCAAGAATGACAAGGTATTAGTTTTAATAGTCTAAATATATCTAGATTATAATATTACAATTTTTTTACTAACAAAGTGTACTTGTTTAATTTGAGTGGACACAGATCGTACCAACAGAAGAAGAGATTGCCATGATTGGAGGAAACAATGACAGAGGTGGACATGGAATGGACATTGTTATTCCAAATGTGGGGAGGCTAGATGCTGAAAAGATGAAAGCTATTGAAGAAAAAGGCAAAAAAGGCAATACAGACCAGAAGCATGAAAAGGAAAACAAGAAAAGTAATGAAGGGAAAAGGTAAATCTGGCGAGGGAACTTCTAAAAGAAGAAAGAAGATTGAGATGGAATTTGAAAGTGATGAGGAAACACAGAGTGATGAAGGCACTGAGAGTGAGGATGAAGAAGATGATTCAAGTGATAGTGGAAGAAAAGCAGAGAAATATATTATGTTCATGAGCAAACATAGTAACAGTATGCAAAAAAGCATGAGGAAACAAGCTAAGGAGACTGCCAGACTAGTGGCAGAAATGAAAAACATTAAGCAAACTCAAAAAAAGCAGGAAGATCTTTTAAAAGAAGTTCTACTTATTGTCAAACAGATGTCACAAGGCAGTGATAAAGGTGAAGATGAGGACACAAGAGAAAGAACAGAGAAAGTTGAAAAGAATGAAAGTCCAGAAAAAGAAGAAAATGTTAATAAAAAAGAAGATGATGACATGACTGGGCAAGATTACGAGAATGATGAGGAACCTAGGCTAAAGGATGATGATACTGCTGACATTCATGTGCAAGAGGAGACTGAGTACATTGCTGCACAGACTGAGGATGATATTTTACATATTGGGGATGATGGTGCAAAAAATGAGGATGCTGTTCTAGATAAAGATGTTGTAGAGACCGAGCACAATGAAGATGCAGTTTGTGACATGCCTACGTTTAACATATTGAATCTGTCTCAAGAGATGGACAAAACTGCTGAATCTTGTTGGGGGATGGGGTCACAGGACAATAGTCAATTTGTCAAAGAGATTTGCAAAACTGCAGATGAAGTGGCGAAAAAGGCTTTTGAGAGCTATTCTTCCAATCCATGTACAACAATCATAGTGAAGCCTAATCAGGTAACTAAAAAAAATAAAATGACATTCAAGTAGCATTTGGAAGGTATGAAACTGACATAAAAGTGACATTCGAAGTATTAATGACAAATTAGTAAAGTTATGTGATATACAGTTTATGTGAAGTTATGAAACTGACAAATTGGTGACTTCTGTAGTACATATCACCATTGTATATATGATTTTTATGAATCTCAAAACATTTTATGTAATATTGTCTTGACTTGAATGACAAAATATTTTACAAATTGATTATAATGCTTATATTTTTATGATTATTTTTTAGTATGACATTGAGTGTATTTATACATTTTCAATAAATATAAAAAAGTATAATAAATAATATATATTATGGAAATGCCACAGGAACAAGAGGATCTTCCCGAACAAAAGCGTTTTGCTAGGTCACCAGTGAAGTACACTCCATCTGAGCATTCGCCAAAGAGGAGGAAGAGAGAAAAGGGTAAGAAAAGAGCTGACAATGAATTTTTGCCTCCACTGAAGGAAATAGTTGGACCTTTCACAGAAGATCCAACAGAGAGCCCACCAGATCATGAAATAGAGAGGGTGAGAGCATACCTCCAAGTTGGATTGTTGAAGAATTTTCAAAAAAAAACAAAAATGGCAGAAGGTACAAAGTGGAAGAAGAAAAAATGGTTCACAAACCGTTCTTGCTAGACACTATGAAAGTTGAATCAAAAACATGGTTATATGACATGTTTACGAATCATGAATGGATCACTGATAAGGTAAATT